CTTCAGGCAAGTGGCGCTGTGGTTGGGATTCAAACCAACGATCCTAGTACTGCCAGGTGGAAGTGCTAACCATTTAGCTACTGTACTGCCCGTTAGCTTGGTAAATGGTAAGCTTGCACACTATACCCAATCAAAGAACACTAGAAAAAAAAACGGTATTTTGTGGAAACTTCAAAGACATTGCTGAGAGAAGCCAAGTGTTACTCCTCACCTCCACCATCACAGGAGTGAGCTCTCAAACTCAGCTCAGAGCTACTTCATCAGGAGAGAAAAAGAGCATGTGAAGGGTTTGGATCAGAGAAAGATCTCACTCCTGTGATGGTGAAGGCGAGAACTAACACCAGGCTTCTCTTAGAAATGTCCTAGAAGTGTTCCAGTCAGACTTCATGGTGTACATAAATATCCTACACCTATAGCAAGGACATTATTCAATTTGGGTCAAAGCTGCATAATGTGTTTTTTATCTACTGCAGTCCCTTATCTGCATAGTCAGCTTTTTGGTAAAGGAGAACTATGCCTTCAAAGCTAAATTAACCAGTTGCAACCCAGCAATAGCCAGATGGCAGCCGCGCGACCAGCTCATCCCTCCAGGTGAACGCCATATGGTGTCCTTTCCAGAACGCGCATTGCGCATGCCCACAGGGCTGCGCTGTGGCGAGATCTGTCACAGGCCATGTACCTCGGACACGGCCGATGACAGATCTGTGTATCGGCCCCGTTGCCAGTACCATGTGACCTGCTGTGACCAATCACAGCAGGTCACATGACAGTTGTATACAATGGAATGGCTTTCTTTTCATGCCATCCATTATATACAACTGTGTCTAGCTGTGAATGGTCACAGCGATCACATGCACAAGCTGAGCCAGTCACAGCCCAGCTGTGTAATGTGATTAGCCATGGCCAAATCACAGCTAATCACAAAAAAAATACCCTGAACGAATCGATTTCATTCAGGAAAATGCTTGCTTATAGCAAAGTATGTAGGGGGTGGGTAAGTGAGCGCAAACAGATAAGGTAAGCAGCTAACATACAGGGTAATCCTCAATACCTTAGAATGTAAAATGTAAATGGGGTATGTAGCGCTAAAGAACAGATAACAAACAAGGAGGGTGTCACCATATATAGTAACAATAAAATAATTCATAAAATGTAGCAGGAAGGAAGATGGATATGATCCAATGATGTTCCAAATCCCGTTCAATGGAGTGAGAAAAGATTAGTGAGGTTGTGCGCTTACCACAAGTACACACAATGTGAGCATTGTATGCAAATTAACAGCAAGCGGGCATCACGGTCTGATCAGCAGCATGGGCAACATCTGGTCATATGAGGACATCTGGGTCAACAGGTCCAACGCTGTCCAGGCCCCCTCTGGCTCTTAATTCCAGATCACCACCTTGCAAAGCTGGGAGAGTCGGCCCTTCACCAGCTATGGCACGTCACCGCCATCACCCTGAGCTGAGGCTATGAGCAAATTGTTTAAAAAAAAAAAAAAAAATACTGATCACTTCCCCAAAGTAGTACAATGTTACTTTGGTCTTAGTGCAATATGAAAAAAATATTTAAAAAAAGAGAAAAAAAAATTAATAAATAATTAAAAATAATAAAAAAAATTAAAACAAAATTGAAAAACAATTATACATTTTTTTTTCTCGTACTGTCACCAGTCAGTGTCCCTGATCACCGCCATGCCAGTTATATGATGATGCTGTAATGCACTGGTGACAGTATGTTAAAAGAAAATAGTGAAAATCATTTTTTTAATTTCTTAATTTTCCGAAAAATGATGCCAAAAAAATGACAACTTCAAAAAACTCGCCATGCCTGTTATGAAATACTTGCAAAAAGGGGTCATTTTGGGGATATCTGTACTGTTCTGACATTCTTGGACCTCAACAAATTAGACTGGCTAAACAAACAAAGAAAAACGTGGGGGTTTTTTAACAGTTTGGGGGTTTTTTTTGTCCAAAAGAGTGATTAAAAACCACCAAAAGAAAGTTCTAGTTGTGTGAAGAAAATGATAAAATTTTAGTTTGGGTACAGTGTTGTATGACCGCGCAATTGTCATTCAAAGTGTGAGAGCGCTGAAACCTGAAAATTGCCCTGAGCAGGAAGGTGTAAAAGTGCCCAGTATGGAAGTGGTTAAACCCTCCTATCATTTTCAGCCAAGGATGCTGCCATCTTTGCAACTGCCATGATGCTGCACATGTGATCAGTTATGACACCAGCCGTTTGATAGTTTGTGAGTTTGGTGGAAAGCACAAACATCTGTGGCAGCTATCATTTATGACATGCGTTAAAGTGTTACTAAACCCACAACAGTACACCCTGTTCCAAATTATTATGCAAATTCTATTTAAGTGTCACAAAGATGAAATATTTTGTTTTTCAGTTTAACTCATGGGTGGCATTGTGTCTCAGGGCTCTTTTGATCACTGAAAACAATCTCGGACACCTGTGATAATTAGATTGGCCGGTGATCCCAATTTTAGGAAAAACTACTAAAGGAGGGTGTTCCACATTATTAAGCACAGCACCATTTTCAAGCAATATGGGGAAGAAAAAGGATCTCTCTGCTGCCGAAAAGAGTGAAATAGTTCAATGCCTTGGACGAGGTATGAAAACATTAGATATTTCACGAAAACATAAGCATGATCATCGCACTATTAAGAGATTTGTGGCTGATTCAGAGCACAGACGGGTTCGTGCAGATAAAGGCACATTGAGGAAGATTTCTGCCAGATCCATGCATCGGATCAAGAGAGCAGCTGCTAAAATACCATTACATAGCAGCAAACAGATATTTGAAGCTGCTGGTGCCTCTGGAGTCCCACGGACATCAAGGTGTAGAGTCCTCCAGAGTCTTGCAACTGTGTATAAACCTTCTATTCGGCCACCACTAACCAATGCTCACAAGCAGAAATGGCTGCATTGGGCATGAAGACTAATTTTCAAACAGTCCTGTTCACTGATGAGTGCCGTGCAACCCTGGATGGTCCAGATGGATGGAGTAGTAAATGGTTGGTGGATGGAGTCCTGTTTTGGGCCGGAATCATGGGAACAGAGCTGGTCGGCCCCTTTAGGGTCCCCAAAGGTGTAAAGATGACCTCTGCAAAGTATGTGGAGTTTATGACTGACCACTTTCTTCCCTGGTACAGAAGGAAGAACTATGCTTTCCGTAATAAAATCATCTTCATGCATGACAAATGCACCATCTCATGCAGCAAAGAATACCTCTGCATCAATGGCTGCTATGGGGATAAAAGGAGAGAAAGTCATGGTGTGGCCTCCATCCTCCCCTGACCTCAATCCTATTGAGAACCTTTGGAGCATCCTCAAGCAAAAGATCTATGAGGGTGGGAGGCAGTTTACATCCAAAACAGCAGCTCTGGGGAGGCTATTCTGACATCTTGCAAACAAATTCAAGCAGAAACTGTCCAAAAACTCACAAGTGCAATGGATGCAAGACTTGTGAAGCTGCTATCAAATAAGGGGTCCTATGTTACAATGTAACCTGACCTGTTAAAATGTTTAAAAAGTTAAAATGTTGTTAAAAGTTTGATTTGAAATAGCTTTTGATTTCAGTAAATATGCTGCAAACACAACAAATGACAATTTTCAGTTCTTTACAACCTAGAAAGTGTTTTGAAACTTACTGTGTTTAATAATTTGGAACAGTGCATTGTAAGTGTTTTATGTTTTAAAAAAATACTGTTATCATTAGGAGGTTTGTTCAATGAAATTTGAATTGTACTCTTAATAGTTGTAACATGAGAATTATGCTGACTGTTATTTACATCAATTATTTAGGTAAATGAGAAAAATATCATTTGCATAACAATTTGGAACTGATGGGCACTGGCAGGCAGCAATGATAGGTGGCACTGACAGGCGGCACTGATTGGAACTGCTATGTGGCACTGATTGGAACTTTTAGGCGGCACTGACGGGCACTGATAGGCAGCACTGACTGTCACTGATTGGTGGCACTGATAGGCGACACTGACTGGCACTGATAGGCGGCACTGACTGGAACTGATAGGCAACACTGAAAGGCAGCTCTGAAGGGCTCTGATATGTGGCATTGATGTGCACTGGTAGGCACTGATATGTGGCATTGATGTGCACTGATGGCTACTAGTATATGGTATTGATGGGCACTTACAGGTGGCATTGATGTGCACTGACAAGTGGCACTGATGGGGCTACAATGATCATCAGGGCACTGATTGTCAGTGCCCTGATGATCAATGTAGATGTCCCCTCTGTGGAATGCCGATTACTGGCTCTCCTCACGAGCTGTCAGCGGGAGGAGAGAACTGCCTATAACCGGCATTTCCTATTTACATGTGAGCAGCTGTGATTGGCCACAGCTGATGACATGACATAGCCAACATCATCAGCTCTTTACAGTGATCAGTGATCTGCTGTGTCCCAGGGGCACAAAGCACCACCAATCACCATGCGCCCCCAAGGGTGCGCATGCGCAGTTAGAGTGGGAGGATGTCATATGACATCCTCCCAGAATGAGATAACTGCCGCCCGTCATTACCTTGGTGGGCGGGAGGCAGTTAAGAGAAGCTAAGTTGATTTCAGAGGGGCTGTGAGTTCCTCGCCCATAAAAGGCTGTTACTACTTATCCGCAAAGACTTGACAGCTTTAAATGAAAAGAACAGTCCAAGATCAGTTGTCTCCATGCATTGATTCACTTAAAGTGTTACTAAACCCAGGACCCTGCATTCACTATATCTGGTCTCCCAGGACCCTGCATTCACTATATCTGGTCTCCCACAGTACACACAACATGGAAGTGCCATTATTTTAGTAAATATAAACTGCAAAATAATTTTTCTCATCAGCAATTAGAGCAGTCTTGTGACTTCTATCAGTGTCCAGCCAAGCACTTGTTACCGCTTGTGAGAGTAGATTTTGCTCCAGGAGGATGCAGAACCCATGACCTCTGTCTGGACAGTGCTGATTGGTCTTGTGCTGATCACATGCACTCTCCAAGAAAGATTAAAAAAACCTCTCTAGCAAAACACACCAAACTAAGCATGTGCAAAGTGACTCCACACAATATGTCTAATCAGGAGATAAGAGGGGGGCACTGGAAGAAGGGGAGGATCAGAGAAGACAGGATCAAACAGCATTTTTACACAATGCAGAGGATCAACCCCATAGGTTCCACAGTGAGTATAACACGCATGCTTTACTGCATATACAGACTGATTGTACTGTTGTGGGTTTGGTAACACTTTAAATTGGGCATCCCATAATCCCTGTTTCCCTATCCAAGTAGTTTCCCCTAATAAAATAACAAAAACCAAGCTCACAGACTGTTCACTGACTATGGATGCAAGTGTGGAAAACGTGTGTTGCCTGGCTGTACCTAGAAACACAGTGGCCTTCACAAGGGTAGCACTACGCACAGGGGCGGACTAACAACTCATGGGGCTCCCGGGCAATAGGGGATCATGGGGCCCCTGTGTCCTTGCCCAAACTCAAAAAAGCCTATGAAAAAGGTACCAGGGGCATCTCATGGGGCCCCCTACTGACCCCGGGCCCTCGGGCAGTGCCCGAGTTTCCAAATGGTCAGTCCACCCCTGTCTACACATGTCAAATCTCCTAGACACAAAATCATTCTAGCAGGAGGAAAACACTGCAGGAAAAGGATATTGCACAGTAAACATAAAAAATCAGAAGATTTAGGCCAGATTTTGATCATGACTTAGGACTTGTTGCAGAGTTAGTGGGGTTGATTTACTAAAGGCAAATAGACTGTTCACTTTGCAGGGACGTTACCTTTTGCAAATGAATAATCCTCTGAGCACAGTGAATGAGGTGAAGCTCTGCTGTCTTCCATCATCTAATCATATGCAAGCAAAATAAGCTGGGTTTTTTTTTCATCCTTGCACATGATTAATTTTTGCAAAGTGAAGCTTCATCACATTCACTATGCTCTGGGGAAAATTTCTGTGAAAGTGTGACTTTCCTTGCAAAGTAAACAGCCTATTTGCCTTTACTAAGTCAACCCCAGTGAGTTGTGATCAGGACAGAGCCATCACTGCCACGGGAACAGTATAGTTAACCATGATATGACTGGGGAAAAAAATGAAAAGAAAAATCATGATCCTCTTCCAACAAAACAGGATTATGCATCCTAGCTTCTTATGCAAGATACTGTATATGGAGTATATAAAACTGCAAAATGTTCTCTCAATCATGGAGGGACAATCGTTACATACGTACAACATTTCAAACATTTTTGAGGGAATGTGCTTATTAACGCCTACTCTGATGTATTATATATGAATAAAGGAATCTACAGAATGTTGTATAACAAGTTCCAGGATGACCTGGTAGACACACCTAATAAATATTAGATTGGTTGCATTAAATGTCAATTTTCTAAAATGCATACGTTATTCTTAGGCTTAGCTATATTATTCATACTTGAAGAATGATATGATCGAAGGAATAAGCTGTTACTTAATTGCTGTTTTGTATTCAGGCATTGACGTCTACAGAAGAATGGTTGATAGCTATGTACCTGCTTAGTTATTATTGTTCCAGTGCTTTTGCGATGGAAAATATTATTTAGAAAGTTGTCTCTAAAACACCAATGCCTTACCAAGAACCTGGCATATGCAGTTCTGATCTTCCTGCCCAATGTTTCTCCAGCTTTTTTGAAATTACAATTCAAATTTGTCTTCTGATTGCTATCCTGTACTTCATTTCCTATGCAGTACAGGACTTCTGGTGCTTAGTTAGACATTGGGGTTGATTTGCTAAAACTGGAGAGTTGCAAAATATGGTGCAGCTCTGCATAGAAACCAATAATTGAAAAAGTTGAGTATCTGGCTGCTCATCCCTACATGAATGCATTCATTACTGAGTGAAATTCTATTTGTTCCATATATTGGCCTGCTCAAGACACGGTCAGTTTCATTTCTTGATACATTCTTTTCTTGAATGCATAATCTTTTATTGGATATATCCCTTTGGTCTGATGATTTGGAATTTAAAATATTCTGTTCTTTATACCAGCCTTGAGGCTTCTTTAGGAGTGCCTTGGCAAAATGTCTACAAATTGCCTAAAACATGTATACAAGCTAGAGGGTGGAACAAGCCTGCCTTTTATTTACACAAAGGCACAGGTTTTCATTGTGCTCCATTGCGACCTTCTAGCCGCCAGCGTCCTGACAACCAATTCCATCATCAGTTGATAAGGAGGATGTCAACTGCCTGCACAGCATCCTAGTTAGACCCTCCCCTGCCCCTCTCCATCAGTGCTGGGGTCACATTAGCTCAGTAATGAAGAAAGGAATAACTGGAATACTAGTCAGTACCAGTGTGCAAAATTGTATTTGCTTTGGAAGAATAAATCACCTCTAATGTTGGGTGTCCTACATGTGTGGATGTTGCTGTGTTATATAAAGCTATTAGAATAGTTTTTCACATTTTAGAATGGGGTGCCTGAAGACTGTCCATAATTTTAAAAGGTGCCTTGGGACTGTTCATAATTTTAAAGGGTGCCTTGACTGAAAAAAGGTTGAGAAACACTGCTTTATACCACCTTTAGTCCCATTGGGGGGATGTTTTGGTGCCCCTCTGTTAGTCCTTGCTGTCTGGTGACCTACATCTGACCACTCTTGCCCTATTGGATGATGCACCCCGCCGAAGCATGGTGTCTAGCCTCCCATCTTGGAAGTCATCCCCTCTTTTGCTCTGATATATGTTTTTGTAAGTTAAAAAAGTTTTTGGTTATGTGATTATCTGTTGATTTATTTTTTGGTATACTCATTTATGATTATTTATACATTTACTAGAAAGAACCTTTGTCTCTCATGCTCCCTGAGGAAGATCTAGAATGTGGAACGATCGAAACGCGTTAGTATTTTCTTTCTTTTCTGTGTGGTTTCATATTTTTGTATTACGAGTTCTCTTGTAGGAAGACTGTCAGTGCAATATTTGTTTTAGAAACCATGTATGGAATATTACAATGGAAATACGTATGTAATAAAGTTGACAAAAATCTCTTAACAAAATGTCTCTTTCAATATATGTATGATCTTATTGTTGCATTAAAGTCGAACTGGGGGTTCTTTGGGTACATGCATAGAAACCAATCAGCTTCCAGTTTTTTTTTTGGTCTAAACATAATTGAACAAGCTGAAGTTAAAAGCTGCACCACATTTTAGACTCTCCAGTTTTAGTAAACTAACCCCAATCTTTGCTATTTCTAGCCTTGGGTTTACTTTGATAGTTAACGTGTTTCTTTCAGCTGTTAATATTCCTTGCTAATCATTTCCTTATCACTTTGTGTATATGTTAACATTATTTGCTTTTGGATGATATATCCCCACTTTCAATAATGGTAACCTATGGGTTTAAATTAGCTGATAATGTGGCTGTAGGGACATAGAGTGGGTATCTCCACATAACTATTCACGGACTTGGTTGTTTAAGCAATCGTATCTCCTTAAAAACACATGTTTTGTTATGCAAATATTGACCACCAACGTTTTCTCCCCAGCATCCCCCTATTGACCATTAATTGCAATAACTGGCCTTGGGTGTCATATCCAGCATATGGCACAGATGACACATGCATTGGATGCCACCTGAAGGGAAAGTTGCTGCACTGGAGCAATGCCAAGGTGCTATAGTACCCCCAAAAATTCTGCTAGCATCCTAAAGCACCCCTATGAAATTAGCAGATTAAAGCACACATATTTTACAATGAAATCCCACATTTTTCAGAGTCTTCTATTTAATGGTGTTGCACAGTGTCATGTATTTCCATGGCTCTGGGAGGCTATCCTACCCACCCATACTATTAAAGAGAAAGACGCTGATCCAAGGTTGATGGCATTCAGTGCCAACCCCAGCTTATAGAAGAGGTGTAATGTGAAGGGGCTCTGAGGACTGTGGTGTGGGAGGACTCCAAAGACACTGGTGTAAGGGGGTCTTCGAGGAGACTGATGTGAGGGACACACTTAAGATACTGCTGTGTGTGTTGGGGGGGGGGCTCCGAGCCCATTGATATGAATGGAGCTCTTAGGACACGGATGTGAGGGGGATCTGGAGACTGTAGTGTGGGATTGCTGTCAGGACAAAGGTGTATGGGGGGCCCTGAGGACACTGATGTGAGGCAGCTTTGAGGATACTATTGTGTGGGGAGCTCTGTCTCCGAGGACAATTATGTGAGGGTGGCTGTGATTATGTGAGGGAGCTCTGGGGACTGTGATATGAAAGGGCACTGAGGACACTGAAGTGAGGGGAGATTTGGAGACTCTGATGTGAAGAGGGGCTCTAGGGACTCTGATTGGAGGGGGCTCCAAGGACACAGATATGCAGGAGCTATCAGGTCTCTAAATTGAGGTAGCTTTGATGTGAAGAAAACTCTGATGTGAAAGGGGGGTTCCTCAAGTAAAGTGGATACTCTGATGTGAAAGTTGTTCCTGATATGAAGGGGAGACCCTTGTAGGAGTCATGGAGACTGCAGAGACAGGGGAGAGAGACACTGTGACGATGATGAAGTGCAGACAGAAATGGTTGATTTTCTCTTAGTAAGGTGTAGGACTAGGAGCACAGTCATTTAAATCAAAAGCAGACAGTTGGCATAGCCTGGTGCGGCACACACCCACTCATCAAGGAACTATGCCACAATTAAATAATTATTTCTGCGTGCAGCACGTGCAAAAAACATTATTAATCTCTCCTTATCTTTGTAAGGCCTGCTGAACCCTGGAATGTTTTGATTGTAACACACCCAAAAATAACTATACTATAATTCATTATCTATAATCATATAATTGCAATAGTAATTGCAAAACTTTGAGAAACACAAAAAGAATGTAAATGTCAGAAAGGTCACAGGGAACATAACAGTCCTCCTATAAAACGCTGCAGTTAACCTTTAGAGATGAGCAAACCAAGCAAAGTTCGGTTCACAGGAGGCTTGGCAAACCAAGGAAAAAATCTAATGAACCCAACTGAAGTCCATGGGAGTCACATTTTATTTTTTCTTGCCCTTTTAACCACTAGCCTACAGGGCACTTATACCCCCTTCCTGCCCAGGCCAATTTCCAGCTTTCAGCGCTGTCACGCTTTGAAGACAATTGAGCGGTCATGCAACACTATACCCATATGAAATTTTTATCATTTTTTTTGTGACAGATAGAGCTTTATTTTGGTGGTATTTAATCACCTCTGGTTTTTTATTTTTTCTTAAACCAAAAACCACTGAAAATTTTGAAAAAAAAAAGTTTTTTCTTAGTTTTTGTTATAAAATTTTGTAAATAAGTGATTTTTCTCCTTCACTGATATGCGCTAATGAGGCTGCAGTGATGGGCACTGATAGGCTGCACTGATAGACACTGATAGGTGGCACTGATTGGCACTGATGAGGAGGCACTGGTAGGTGGCACTGACAGGCATCACTGATGGGCACTGAAAGGCAACACTGATACATGGCACTGATAGGCAGCACTGACTGACACTGTTAGGCAGCACTGACTGGCACTGTTAGGTGGCACTTACTGGCACTGCTAGGTGACACTGACAGACACTGAAAGGCGGAACTGACTGGCACTGATAAGTGGCACTGATTGGCAGCACTGATAGGTGGCATTGATTGGCATTGATAGGTGGCACTGACTGCCACTGATGGGTGACACTGAAAGGCAGCTCAGATGGGCACTGATATGTGGCATTGATGTGCACTGGTATGCATTGATATCTGGCATTGATGTGGCACTGATGGGCACTGGCACGTGGCACTAATGAGCACTGACACAAGGCACTGATGGACACTGACAGGTGGCACTGCTGGGGCTACACTGATCATCAGGGCACACTGATCATCAGTGCCCTGATGATCAGTGTACATGTCCCCTCCGCGGAAAGTCGATTACCGGCTCTCCTCTCCTCTCAAGCTGTCAGCGTGACAGCTCGAGATGAGAGAAATGCCGATAATCGGCATTTCCCTGTTTACATGTGATCAGCTGTGATTGGACACAGCTGATCACATGACCGAGCCGACACCCGCGGCTGTTTCCGTGATCGGTGATCCGCTGTGTCCGAGGGACACAGCGAACCGCCAATCGCCGCGCTGCGCTCTCTGAGCCGCGCATGCGCGGTGAGAATGGGGTCCTCCCAGAATGAGAGAACCACCTTGCGCCTGTCATATTACTATATGGTGGGTGGGACATGGTTAAAGTCAATTTGCATGTTTTTGTTAAAAAAGGGCGTTCGTAGCTGGGTACTGTGATGGGGGACATGTACCATTCAGCAGAGAGAGGGCTTTTAATGCAACCTAAAGGGCAATATTAAAAATACATAAATATTTTAAATACATGCTTTGGAGATGCCTTATATCTGCTTGTGAAGTTGTGGAGCAGCACAATGTACTCCTGTAAAAATGATTTTTTAACAAACTTCACAAGGGATCTGTCATCTAGTGGCTGCAACACTACTGAGACTAAATGACAGATCCCTGCTGGCTTGTTTGCTATATTTGGTGAATGATATTACCCAGCATCCCTGTTTCCTGTGTTTATTTACAGAAGCTGGTGAGGAAATGTCATTTGCAACAGGAGTAGTAGTGGGTATTTCCATGGATCATCCTGTTTAATGTGCATCTACATTGCTGGATGATGTGAGTGACAGTGGATTTACCTGGGGGAATTTGTTTACTTTTTATGTCTTTTTTTCCTAATAAAAGATCTTTTTCATAGTGTGGGAGTTTCTTTTACGATTTAAAGTTTTTTTGTGAATGAGTAACAAAGGGTACTCATTCAGCTAGGGGAGGAAGATATCTGGGGGCTCCCTTATTTTAAAGGAGACTTCTAGATTCTACTACTAATTCCCTCCAAGCAGACCCCCATATCCCTTTTGAGGGATGGGTTGTGGGAATGATACCCCTGTCCCAAATAACAAGGGGATAAGATTGCAAGATTGAATGTTGAGGGCATATGGACTGGTATGATTCAGTAGGGGGATAATGCTTGCTGCCCCCACTTTTCTGGCCAACCAGGCTACATGCCTGGACAAGGGGGGGGGGGGGGGTTAACAATTTTTCAAGGATACCCAACACTATTTTATTTTCTCTTAATTAGTCAACACACCATTAAAAAATAAGCTCCATAGTTTTCCACCTAAATATTAAACCAGGACCCTTTGGTAGGCATGCAGCCTGGCTGGCCAGGAAAAGGGGACAGCAGGTAAAACACCTTGTAAATGGGGACAAGGGCCTCATCCTACATCCTGCCTGCAAAAAGAGATGTGGGGGTCTGTGAGGGGAGAGGCCTATTGGAATCTGGGAGCCCCCTTAAGAAAAAGTAGGTCCCTAGATATGCAATTATTAATGTGTCCCTTTTATTACTTATTCCCCAAAAATGGAAATAATAGATTAAAACACCCACACTGTTGAAAAATTTTTATTTAAAAAAAAATTTAAAAAAATATGTCCCTAAAGTAAATGCTATATCAATTATGTTGTGCTCTGATGTAGAACTACATCACAACAATCTGCCGCATGACATCCCACAATGCACCATGTTAACCCGCCTCTAAAGATTACTGGCTTCCTGCTGAGTGTAACCAAACATGTTGAGGATGCTGGGTGACATCATTGACCATACTTGGTCAATGGCTTACCCAGGATTCCTGGTCTGTGTATGCGACTAGAGTAGTGGCAGGTAAAAAATTATCGGTCATGGCTTATCAGCTGGCCAACATTTTTAGTTTTGGCCAATTCTTTAATTCTCTAATATGCTGTCAGACTACATCCCAACTAACGCTATTGTGTTTTGGAGATAGTGAACTATTCCCCAGTCCGTTAGCTTAATTTCATCCCAAATTCACTTACAAAATTTATTTATATGATAAAATGAGAGATGGACCAGGAATGTACATTAAATAATACAGACTGGAATTAAATTTGACCATGACACTACAGAGGTCCTCATGCATTGGTACCCCTGGCAGAATCGTACAATATTTTACAGCCTCCACCAACTGTTTTAGAGGCTGTGTTTTTCTTGGTTCCATGCTTTATATCTGGTAGGCACATCCAATGGTGCAGAAGCTCTGGATCTCCCACAAAACCCATGGGAGGCCCCTTTTAATAAATAAAAACACAGTCTCTGTTGAACTGCGAAGTAAACTAGCCACCTTTGTATTCCTAGCTACAAGACAAACAATAACTCATGGGAAACAATACACCCTCAAATTCCAAGAGGTCAAAAAGAGTAAATAATAAAGAAATCTTGACTATTCTAAATGACTCCTAGGGATATCCTGAGTGATGTAATTGGATAAAATATGGTTGTGGCTATTGTTGCTAAATTATAGATTTGTACCCAAAGACCAGACTGCAAACAGGCTGACTTTGGTTAGAGCAAGCCGAACCCAGCCTGTTCAGGTTGACACTGTCTTTCTCTGTCCACAGCTGTGCATGTAATCACACATGGAGTAGTTACCTACAGTTAAGGGCAGATGTGCATCCAAGAATACTAACTTAACCACAGGTAGTTGCTCCATGCGAATCACTGCATACAGTTTCAGTCTGTCATTGATTTGTACCAGCTTCCTGTTCATGGTTGATTGGAAACATCTAGCCTTAACTTTTGCAAAAAATGTGCTAATCTTGGCAGTGTACAACCCTATTCGCATGTGTGCATGAGTTCTAGAACACAGATTTTCACTCGGTCATGATGAACAAGTTTACATGAGATCCCTATTACACTGCAAGGTATGCCCTTACACATTATATTTTTAAGAAAAAATTTAGGATCACTATTCTAAATTGTCAAATATATAACATTGTAAAGGTTTTTAGCGTACATTGCTTATTTGCGGTTTTGCGCACTGTAATTATCACACAAAAACACACAATATAAAATGTATACATGATTATTAATTAACCCAGTGTAGTTTTATCTTTTTATATTTAGTAAGATTGTTTGAGCTTATGTGGTATTGGTGTACACTAATGATGATTTTTTGTGTATTTGTTAATAAAAAACGTTTCTACAATTATCATGGCGTACGTAATGAATAGTCCCACCTTGTAATCCTACAGGCCCTGCACTTTCAGAAAGCAGAGGTTTTTAGGATCTTTCACTAACTTTGGAGTTGTCAGTAGCAAAATGTTTCAGTCCACTAAGGTGCAAAATGGGAGACAGGGGCATAGTATAGGGTTAAAGACTGCGTAAGTTGGGTAAGGTTCCAGTGTATCTGATAAGTATTTTATAAATCTTCATCTATGTTTTATGCATGTATTTAAAGATGTTATTCTACACTCTTCTAAACTCTCTAGATTGTACAATCAGACTACAATGTGCATGGCCACTTCTGTTAACCTTCACCCCAGTTGCTGAGGTTGGAAAATTCCAATCTTGAATAATTTATCAACTTAATTTACAAATTACATGGCACACATGTACACACATGTACATAAAATACATCAGTCTGATTTCATTTTTATGTATATCTATATGAGAATAAATTTAAAGAGACACTGTCACTTTAACAATTCAGGACAAAATGACAGTGTCTGTGTTAAGGGCCCCTCCTTTGAACCCTTGAAGTTCACCTTACCAATGCTCACCTACTGTTTCTTCCATTGTCTTAGCTGTTAAAAATACCTTGTGCTTTCTGATATGGGGAAGCATATTAAATCCTCCCATGTAATGGTGCTCAGGTCTAGAAGCCAATCACTAGGCCTAAGCACTGTCTTATTAGCAACAGACCGATGTTACTGCTCCCTCAAGTATCTGATGCCACGTGACACTGCAACAGGAGAAGTATCGGTGGGAGAGTGCAAGCAAATAGAGCATCAATAGGGAGTTCCTTTTGCACTGATAATGTTGCTCTATCCTGAATGGGCAAGATGACAGTGCCTCTTTGAAGGACTAGAGTTCCTCAGTGAAACAAAACTTGCAATCTCCTTCTGAAAATATTAGTTGCCCAACTGTCTCTGGCTTCAGTACTTTCTGAATCATTGACCGAGCAGTTCAGGAAAGTCAAAAAGAAATCAAAACTTGATTTCCCTACTTGATCAGTGAATCAGAAAGTACTAATGTCACTGCATCAGCTCACAGCCAGGGTACTAGAAATTTCAGAAGTAGAGGTCATCAAATTCAGCCTCCATATTTGCTTGGCACAGGATGAAGCAGATATCAGGTATATTAGGTAGCTGACTTTGCAGAAACTGAAGAGACCTTCCTGAGACGCTGTCATCTAATAATTTTAAGTGCTATGGTAGTGTATGCAATAGGATATACATTATCTAATCAGAGTTCATCTTTTGCTGCAAAAAATATGTTTGTTTTTTAGGGTTTCCTCACACTGGCTCATCAATAAGCCTTCACCTACAGATTTTATCATGTGTTTTTTTCACATTCTAGAGAACTCACCTGCAGTGCTGGACAAGAAAGTGATCGGTTTGGCTTGAACCTAGATAAGAGAATGTCAGAGTTAGAGAAATACAAGTAGCGCACGTGGACACATTGGGTTTCATGTTGTGATCATGAAGATTTCATTCACCATCCATAGAGATGAGGGAGCTCCTCTTCACCACCTTCCAGGAATGACATTGAACCACTGCAGAGGTATGAAAATGCATAAGGACTTTTTGAAATAATTAAAACCTGAGGACTTATAAGGCAGCCTCGTGGCATCTCACGTAAATATGTGAGATATTTTCTGA